ATACCCCAACTGACTACCTGACTGAACTGAAAAAGGGAAAATGCGGCGGGTGCAGGTTTTCGATATATATATATATAGAGGCGATATATATATATATATAGAGGCGTCAGAATGATGAAAAGGTGTCAAATAACTAAATATACACCTGACCAGGACTCCCAAGGGCTCCGGGCCACAAACGCCATCCCAACCATCGCCAAACAAACTAATACTGAACACACACATACATACCCACCACACCATCTTTCCCCCCATTGCCACCCCCACACCATACACACACACGTACAGAAACGCAATCGGGTGCGAGCAGTTGCAACGGTTATCAACGAACAGCCTCAGTGGCACCACCAGCAGTAGCACCACCAGCACCATCAGCAGCAGCAGCAGTAGCACGAAGGGATGCTGCATCACGCACACATGCAACAACAACGGCCAAAAAGTAGCAGCAGGAAATAAAACCTAACAACAACAGACACAGCAAACGTAAAGGAGCTGCAACAGCAACAGCAACAGCAAAAGCAGTAGCAGTTGCAACGACATAAAACGTTTTAGACGCAGCTACAGCAGCAGCATCAGATAAATGAACAGCCGAGGAGGAGGACCACACCCATAAATACATACCACCGCCGCCGATACAAATCCCCACCAGCTGTGCCGCCGCCGCGACCACCTCTGGCGGCCACCCTGGGGGGATGGCGGGATGACAACTACTGTTACATCTCCTCCCCCGCTCCTCTCCTCTCCACAAACCTCTCCCCCCCCTCCCTCCCTCCTTCCGTCCTTACCTCCCTCCCTCCCTCGACAATTCCCAACACAACCTCAACACCTACCTGGGCACACCTCTCCACCATCTCCCACCCCCAACAGTGTGCTGCCGCTGCTGCTGCAGGTGCTGCTGGTGCTGCACTCGCGCTCTCCTGCCATCCTGTGGCTTCCCCCTCCCCCTCCCCCCCCTCACACTCACTCAAGAAGCCATCCAAAGACGGAGGGCGTCCTGCTGACTTCTCCCCTCCGCTTCCCATTACTATTATTACCCTATTATTACCCCTCCCCCCCCAAAGTCGTCACTTGTGCGCTCTTCCTCCTCCCCTTCCTCATCCAACAGCACACGCACCCCACGCAACCACCACCACCACCCGTCACTTGTGTCCTTTGAAGGTGGTCTTGTGCTTCAGGGCGTAGTAGACACACAGCCGCAAGAAGATGAGCATGCCGATCAGGATACACACGTCCCGAGTGACGGGGGCCTGCGGGGGCGGGCACCGCGAGGCGGGGAGGGGGAGGGGGAGGTGTTAGGAGGGGTTAAGGGGTTCCGCACACAGAAAAAAGGGCAGGTGGAGCGGCAGGAGCGGCGTGTTGTTGTTGTTGTTGTTGTTGTTACTGAACTGGTAATAGTGGTGGTGGTGGTGCATACATACATGCATACACACACATACATAGATTACACCGGAGCACAGATCATTATTATAACGCACGGACCCCCTCGCACGCTCACATCCACGTTCATCTCGAAAATGCCAGCCTGCCCAACCGTGCACCGTTGTCCGGCAGCAGCAGCCGCTGCAGCCGCCGCCATCGCCGCCGGGCCGTCGTCACTTTCCGCCACCAGGCCGCAATCAAACGGCCGGTGCCGAAACTCCACTTTGAGCAGCAGATTCCAGCCCCAGTAAATGTACGACACGTACTTCAACCAGGCGATCCACACAGGTATGCCCCGCACGTAGTACCCACACACTAGCATCGTCGCCAACATGAAAATGGTGGCGATCGTTTGGCCGTTTTGGGGGTTAATGACGGTTGCCCCGATCAACAGCCCAACTGACTGGCTCGTGAGTACGATGAGAAGTACGGAAGCCCAGTGAGCGAAGAAAGCGCCTGAAGGAGGGTGTTGTTGAGGAGGGGCCAAGGTGGGTGCCTCAGGGTGAAGGGAAGGGGTGTGGGTGCCTCACTCACATACTCACGAAACACACACACTCACGCTAACCCTCGGCTGCTCCTTCCTCCCCTCCTTCCTCCCCTCCTTCCTTCCTCCCTTTTTCTGCACACATAAACGCCCTAACACCCGATCCTCGCCCCCCCACAAGCTCCCTCTCCACCTTCTCCGCCCTGCTCCATTCCCCTACACAATCTCTCTCCCCCCTTTCCTCCCCCCTTTCCCCCACCCACACAAATCTCTCTCCCCCCGCCCCCCCCTCCCTTACCCGCATCCACCCGCAGCCCCGCCATCCAGTACACAACCCAAACAAACAGGGACGGCAGCAAGCAGTCCATTGGCAGGTCTGAGGCGGTGCGAGCAATGTAGTACGCGGACAGGCGGTACATGCCGCTCTGACGCTCCTTCACGAGCATCTGATGGGGGAAAGAGGGGGAACAGACAGGTTGGAAAGGTTAGGAAGGGATACGTGAGGGTATACAAATACACATGTAAATGTATGTATATGTATGTATATGTAAATGTATGTATATGTATGTATATGTATATATATGTATATATACATATATATGTATATAAGTGTGCATTTGATTGGCCGCGGGGGAGAGCGAGGGAGGGGAGGAGATCGGAGAAGATGCGGAATGCGAAAAGCGAGAGGCCTCTCTAGGGAGATTCCGAGAAAAATTAATTAAAAAACAACAAAACAAGTAAAATCGCCAAAAGGAGGAAGCCCGAGCCAAACCTCGAACCCGGGACTCTCAACCCCTCAAACTCCCATCACGCCCCCGTCCCCCAAAAATGCGACCCCAACCCCAAATCCCCCAAATCCCAAATCCCAACTTCCTACCCCCCAAATCCCAACCTAGTCGAGTATATCACCCGCCTGGAATTCCAGTGGAAAGGTAAACAGCGCCGCAAACAGAGTGGAGAAGCCCATAAACTGCTCCACAAAGAACAGCAACCCTCCCACATCCAGGGCGGCCTGTCGGGAGTCCAGGCGGGTGCCGATCTGCCACCAGAACAGCCCGGCCAGCACCGCCACCACCAGCAGCTGAGCGGACTTCTGGACGGAGAGGGACTGGAAGCGCCGGGTCTTCACGGAACGGAGGGCCAGGTAACGAACCTGCACAAACACACAAACACACACACACGCACGCGCGCGCGCGCAAGAGAGCGAGAGTGTTTTTTTTTGAATTTAACGACAAAACTGCGAATTAGATATTTACCCGCATATATTACTACACCGCACTATGCCGCACTGTGTTTGTGTTTGTGTGTGCGTATGTATGTATGTGTGTTAACGGTCTTTAGGCCGTGGGTTGGAAGTGGCGTGACTGCACGTGTGTGTTTCACCCTCTCTCCCATGCCCCCCCCATGCCCCCCTCATGCCCCCCCCCATCAAAACCCCATCAAACCCAGGTGACCCACCTGCTGCATCCAGGGCGCTCCCCATTTGGACTCCGCCGCCGCCGCGTCTGCCTCCGCCTCCGCCGCCGCCGCAACTGGACCCCTACCCGCCCCGGAAGGAGCCCCCAACGCCAACTGCACATCCCCCTCACTACCGCCACCGCCGCCGCCGCCGCCGCCGCCGCCGCTACTCCCCCTCTTGCCACCGGCCCCCTTGCCATGGGCACCCCCCGGTTCGGGGGAGAGCGAGGCGGCGCCCGGGGACGTTACAACTGCAGCGGAGGTGGAGAGCTCCGAAGCGCGGATGCCACCGCGACCGCGACCTGCGGGTTTGTGTTCATGAGTTGGACGCCATCACCATCATCATCATCACCATCACCATCATCATCATCACCATCATCGTGCGCGTCAGTAGGAAGAGTAGGGACAGTAGGAAGTACAACAACAGTAGCAGCAGTAGCAGCAACAGCAGTAGCAGCAGCAGTAGCAGCAACAGCAGTAGCAGCAGCAACAGCAGCGACAGGATCCAGGTCAAGGTTGGGCAATAGTCCCCAGCTAATCCCCAACTAATACCATGTGGCGACTTACACCAGTAGTACAACTGCCACAACTAACTAAGCTAAACTTAACTACCCGACGCCGTGATGCGCCCGCCCTCGATGGCGGTGGTGGTGGCCCACCACATCCATGTATACGATGATCAACCAATAACTACACGAAAACACGAAAACACGCCAGCCAGTGCCGCAGTATACTTCCTTCCCGCAACGCAAAATGCAAAGTTCGTTAACACACATCCGACCCAACTCATCCGGCGCTGCAAAAATCCATTGACTGATCGACCACCCAAGGCCAAGGCCATGGCCATGGCCCACAAAAACCCATTCCCCCGGGTTTTTACAAGCCTCCCACCCCCAAGGTTCGGGTGACTGCATCGGTGACTCCGGAACTGGGAGCTCTTGTAACTCTTGTAACTTAATAATATTGATAAATACGCAGTTCACCAAGGCACACAGACAGACAGACAGACAAACGATTTGTCTCACCAATGTTCCGCTTCTCAAAGGCCTCAATCAGCTGCCGGTGAATCTCGTCCTCCGACGACGCTTCCGTACTGGACGAGCAAGTCGCCGCATCGCCCCTTCCCTCGCCGCGCCGGCCTTCATCGTCGTCGTCGTCGTCGTCATCGGCGTCCGCGGCAGCTGTTGCTAAGCCGCCGCCGCCGCGGCGGCGGCGGTGTACGACGGTCTCAGGTCCTGACGCGCAGCTGCTGCTGCTGGCGCCGCCGCCGCGCGATACGATGTCGCCGTTGGCCAAGTCCAAAATGTGATCTGCATCAGAGGATACCGGGGGGAGCTTTTTAGCTAAATACATATGTACACCATACACGAATATATATACATATATACACAGGTATATATGTACCCCCCCGGGTGAGGGGGAGGAGATTGGACATGGCAGGGCGGGAGGATAGGAGGCAGAGAGAGGGAAGGGAAATGTGTGTATTTATACACACGCACATTCTACACACACACTCTACACGTTATA